GCTCCGGGCAGGTTGGAAAGACGAATTTCCAGGACAGACTTTAGACCCCTTCGGAAACTCCGCGCCCTGCTCTGTCCCCGTCCCGCGGAGGTGACCCTGGCAGGTGACTGGCCCGAGCCCCTCGGGCCGGGGCTGGAGGAGTCGGCAGCCCGGAGGCGCGCCTGCTCTGGGGACCGGGCAGCGGGGGGCGCGCGGCGCGGCCCTTATCGAAGCTGCAGCTCCTTCCGCGTAGCCGCTGTGGTCAAAGAGGAGCCCAGAGTGAGTTTCCCCGACGGTCGCCGTCCGGCCTGCCGTGGCCGGTCTGCAACATTGTGGGGAAAGACAGCCGTGGGCGCGGCCGGGGCGGGCAGGAGGCCGGGGCGCGGGAAGGTCGTTGGGGACAACCCTGCTGTGTCTGCCGTGCAGGGGGACGAGTCCAGGCGGCAGCCACGTCTCGGAGGGAGGACCCCGGACTACCGTGACCAGTGAGAATAGTGGTGGCCCCGGCCGGTAGGCTGTTTGGAGACGACCCTGGGAGGGGGGAGAAAAAGGAAAACCTCTTTAGCAAATGGTGCTGGAAAAACGGGGTATCTACCTGAAGAAAGATGAAGCTGAATCCCCATCTTTCACCATTAACAAAAATCAACTCAAAATGGATCAAAGATCTGAACCTAAGACCTCAAACTCTAAAACTACTGATGAAAAATACTGGGGAAACTCTGGGAGACAGTGGGATAGACAAGGACTTCTTAAGACTCTCAAGCACTGGCAGTAATCCTTAAAATAGAAAAGTGGGACTAGATCAGATTAAGAAGTTTCCAGCATGTTTCCAAGGGCTGTGGCTGCTGGTGGCCACGGGTTCTCCAACTGCATGCGAGAGCAACGTGGAGGGACTTTGACAGCCCAGGTCAAACCGTACCTGCAGCTGCCACTCGCCTTTCCTATAAACTCCGTGGCGTGCTGGGGTCCCCGCGGCCCAGGGTGGGAGTGCTCATGCCGGGCATCGGGGTTTCCGTTGTGCAGGCGCGGTTCCGGCAGGCGGCCGCAGAGCCATTGGGACTCCCCAGGCCCTTTGCTCCGGGAGGGCTTGGACCAAGGTAAGGTGACATCGCAGGGCGTGACTTCCCACCCTCCAGTTCCCTTTCCCATCGGATCTGAACCTGGTCTTGGTGGTCGCACGAGGAGGGAGAGGAACACTGAAGCTGGCCTCTGGTGGTGTCGCCTGGCTGCACCCTGAGGCTGGTTTCAGACACACCTTCCCTGAAGGCAGGGTGGTGCAGGGTAAGGTAGCCCGACCTCACAGGGCAACTCCTTTGTCTTCTAGGCCTGTGTTCCTGGGAGCCAGCTCTGCAGAGCTGGGTGAGTTCTGGCTTTCTAGCTTCAGGGGGTGCTGCCAACCGGCGCCCCTGTCCCCAGTGGGGAGAGCTGGGGGCCTCGGCCTCCCTGCTGTGCTGGTCCGGGATGAAGCCTAGTCTGAGTGGACATCTGGATGAGAGGAGCGGATATGGGGCTGAGACCAGCTCGGGGAGGGGCCCTGCTGGGGGTTCCCAGGGCCACAGGGACAGCCTGGCTCCATTTTTGTTTCAGGAGACACAGGAAGAGCAGCTCAAGGAAAGGCGGAACTCCTGGTGGCAACAGCTAATGTCGCTCTGAGTGGCCAATAAAGAGTCTGGCAGTGCCCGTGTGGTCCGAGTGCCTTGCCCAGCTATTCAGAGGCCCGTGCTGGGGCAGCCTTTAGCATGCCCGGAGACAGGACAGGGACCTGGTGTGTCCGTGCCCCAGTGGGAGCCTCCTCATAGCCCTTTCCCCCTCAGAAATGTAGGGGTCCTGGGTTAGGGAACCCATGGGGGGGTGTCCGCCATCTATCTGTGCCAACCAGGCAGTGCTGCAGACATTCTCAGGAACGGTCATTAAAATCTTTCAAATCATTTAAAAGGTAAAAGTCCTTACAAAATTTAAAAACTCAAAGTTTGTCCCTCCATGTCCTGCCCCTGCTACATCATGGCTGGGATTGGGGAGGACACGGTGTCCAGGGGCTGCCAGTGGCAGTCCATCAGTGCGTCGTACAGCTCTTCACTCTGCTCCATGAAGCCCTGGTTGGCTTCCGTCACATCCAGCTGCGGCATGGGGTCTGGGGGAGAGGCAGGCAAGGAGGGTCAGGAGAAGACATTGTTCACGTCTCCTCCGGTTCCTACAGGGGCTGAGGGCACTGCCTGGCAGGGCATTCCAGGGAGGATGGAGCTAGGGCAGTAAGCTTAGGGTCAGCAACAGTGGCGTCGGGAAAAGCAGGTGGTGTGACGGTTACTCCGCTGCATTTCCCACATGCTGCCAGTGGCAGCTTGAAGCATCAGGCACTGTGCACGCCTTTAAATCCTAAGAGTAAGAGAAGGGGTTGCGGAGAGGCCCCCAGCCCCTGGGATTCCTTGCTTAAATGTTGACCAGAGAAAGAATGAACAATCCCTGTCCTCCTGCCTCCCCTGCTTGTGGGGTTTTGGGTATGCACACACGTGTGGCCTGTTTCTCAAGCTACAAGGTCCAGGCCAGGGCTTCAGCTGTATGGCCGGATGAGGTGGCTGCCTTAACTACCAGGCCCCAGAACTAGCTCACAAGGGGGGACCTTGTAAGGCGAAAACGAAAGGCTTACACCACCCCTACTCAACGTGTGGCCCCCTTGGATTCGAACTTGCAGCTATTCTGACCTAGAATGAGAAAAATGAACTCCACCTCAGTGTTCTGTGACATCAGGACAACTGGCATTTTATCTCAAAGTTGTCGATTTTAATGAGCTAAATGTGCCATGTGCTCAGGACAGCGTCCGGCCACATTAAAGCTACCATTGTCTGAGCCTCCGTTTTCCCCTTCGTCAGGGCTGCACTGGCCGGCCAGAGGGGCAGAAAGCTCCTGCCTGGTGGGCTGTGGCCACGCCACAATGCCTTCTCCATTTCTCTGGCACAAACCTAAGCTACTAATGGGCAGAAATGCCCGGGAAGTCCTAAGGTAGTCTATCACGCCAATACTGTCATTATCTCCAAAAAGGGGCAGTGCTTCCCGGAGGCAGAGCTAGGTACTTTTCTTAGTGAGTGCTGGCCACAAAGTGAGAGATCACCCCCAGGCGGATGGCCACGCGCAGTCCTGTCCATTCTCTTAGGATCTTGGGCACGTACACATGCACCCGGTCCCGGTGTGAGTTTTATGCCACTGGGTCTCACTCGAACTGCGGTCGACTCCGGGGGAGTCCCACCACGTAACCAGTAACCATTACTCCATGTGTCCCTGGACACTCCCCATTACTGTTACAGACCCCTCCCTGGGAGAGGCCGCGGCCCTGGGGGGTGACGGGCTCCATCCCCAGGAGCTGCGGCCTCTGGCCAGGGTGCAAGAGCAGGGTGCTAAAAGCACAGGCGGCACAAGGTCCCACAGCTGGTGAGGTGGCCCGATAGGCTCCTTACCTTCCAGAGCATCGTCCCCAACTTCTTCATATGTCTGCCAAGAGACCAGGGAGGTGGTGAGGTGCGTGGAGAGCCCCACCCGGGGCTGCCGCAGCGCTCCCCCCTTTCGAAGCCCCACCCCACCCTTGCGACGCCGAGGGCTAGGGGTACCTGCATGGTGCTCTGCGTGTAGCCGTACTGCGGGTAGCTGTAGCTGTAGCTGCCGGTGTTCTGGTCGTAGCCCCACTGTGCGTAGTAGCTCTGGCAGTGCTGGTAGTACTGGCTGTAGCTGTAGCTGTACATCTGGCTGTACTCCACCGGCTTCACGCGGCTCCTGCAGCGCGAGGGACAGGGCCAGACGTGGCAGGCGCCGCGCAGTCCCTCCCCAGACTGCGCGGCTCGCACGCCCTTTCGGAGGAAGCGCGGACGGGTGGAGCAATCACCCGATCACAGCTGACAGCTGGGTTCAGGCAGTGTGGCTTCAGAGCGCATGCCTTTTTTTAAAAAAAGAATTGTTTTATTTAACTTTACTATTTTCCAGTTTGATCAGAGACAGAGAGGGAAGGAAAGTGAGAAAACAAGCCACCAGGCCCAAGACTTGAACCATGGTTGGCAATGTGGGAGTCCAATACCCTTAACCACCACCACCCGCCGGCCCCAGGGCCCATGCTTTTAAGCCAGAAGTCTTTCATTTTGTTCAAGTGTGTGCATGTGCTAGAGACAGAGAGGAACACAGTCTCACGCAGAACGCCATGCCACAGTCCCCTCCTCTCCCCGTTCAGGGTTTTAGGCACACATGCACACGTGCTGGCATGCCTCTCCAGCTGCCAGGTCCAAGACTTGGACTACACGGTCATCCAAGTGAGACCTAGGTACTTAGCTACCGAGCCACTGGCGCAGCACACGTCACTGGTGACTGGTCTCCCCTATCTAACCTCATGTGGACTGAGTGTGCAGGCCCTGGGTCCTGGGGCTGTTCTGTTGCTGCCACCTGGTTTGGCCTGAGGGTTGGCCCCAGGAAGACCCAGCCCCTCCCCACGTCCCCCTCCCAGTCCGCGCATCCACTGCCAGCTGCTTTCCTGCACTGTCGTCTGGTACCAAGACCTGGACGGCCCTGGCAGCCAGTACTTATCACCCCAACACCCGGGTTAGGGACCTTGAGCCTGAAAGGAGAAGTGGTTTGCTCAGCGCCAACCCCGGCTGGGCCCTGGCCCTGCACTGCTGCACACACGGCACCTGCCCAACAGGCCTGTCCTCCCTGGGCTCGGGCATCCCAATGCCCAGGGCTGTCTCACGCCAAGGTCTGCGGTGGACACCGGGGTGCAGTGCTGGCGGAGCTCGGGCTTGGTGTTACTGTGTATGCGAGCAACACTGGCCGCACCATCCTGCTTCCCAAGGAGTCACCTCGGTCACGTCATCAATCAGGACAGCCCGTCCGCCCCTGCAAGTCGGGGAGCCTCCCTGACCGTCTGGGGGAGTCCACCTCCCTGGAGAGCAGGACGCAGCCAAGGCAGCTGGGAGGCCCAACCACACTGGCCTCTAAGACACCCACAGCCCACGGGTGCCACCTTCAGCGCCTCCTGGGCCTGGTCTCACCCGTTAGACGGCATGCCTGTTCTATTTCTCCATCTCCGGTGTCGGCTGACTCTCAGAGGGATCGGACACCTTCGGGAGGCTGAGGGACCCCCAAAGGCAGGGCCAAATGTGAGCTGCCAGGAGGGGGCGGCCCTGTCACAGCTACGTCCGCAGTCAAGGACACATGGCCGTAGGGGCTCAGCGGGGACTGCACAGTGACAAGCCAGGACAGGTACCGTGGGGCCGGCCTGTGCTGTAGGTAAGGGAGCTGGACCCCTCAGGGCCACCCGCAATTCCAGTCCTGGCCCAGTGGCTTGAGGGGCGTGATGGGCATGTTTAAATGTGCACAGGCCAAAGGGGACATGAGGACGGGGCTGCACCTGGGTGCTCTCCCCCTCCCGCGGTGAGCGCGCGGACCCCGTGCTACTGCTCAAGAAAGGAAATCATAGGTAAGGGCCAGGGGGCAGCGTGTGGGCTGAGGAGCTGGCCTCCCACGTGGCCGACGGTGGTTCAAGTCCCAGACCGGACAGCGTGGGCTCACCCACTTCTCAATGAGTGCATGTGTCCTATAGCAAATTTAAAAAGAAAAATAAATAAAATTAAGTAAAGATTAAAAAAAATACTTCTGGGAACCAGCAGATGGCATAATGGTTACATGGCTGGACTCCCATGTAGTCAGCCGCAGTTCGAGTCCTGGACCCAGTGGCTAAAAACTGATGCTGGGCACGTGTGTGCGTGTGCTCAAGATCCTGAGAAGAGAATGGAGGAGAAGGAACTGCAGCGTGGCCACCTCCCCAGGGGGTGATCTCTCACTGTCTCTGCTTCACCATCAAGTGCACACCCTGTGGCAAAAATCTCCGAGGCTGGCTGCTGCTGCACTGCGAGTGGGCACAGCCTCTCAGCCATGGCACCTGGACACGGGATGTCACACGTGCCCTGCTGTGGGGACTGTCCTGTGCGTGGTGGGGTACTCAGCGGCACCCTCAGCCGCTTTTCATGAGGTGCCACTAGCACACCCAGTGGTGGGGACCAGCACCATCCGCTGCAGGGGAAAGGTGCTATTCAGAGACAAGATGTCTCTGTCCACAGGGTGCATGTGCTCACAGAGAGACACAAAGGGAGCGGGCATGACAAAGCACCCTGGGGGACAGGCATGCCACAGGCCCCTCTTCGCCATGTTCCTCTCAGGATTCTGGCCACACACGCACACACATCTGAAGTGTTTTTCAAGCCACGGCATCTGGGACTCAAACCATGGAGGTGGCTATCCGGGATTCAGCTGCCTTAACTACCACGCCACTGGTTAGAAAAGGTGTCTCATGTCTGCACAAGAACCCTGCTCAGACTGAGAAGGGCTTTCTACCTAGAAAAGGTCGAAATGTCATTTTCATAACATACTGTCACCATGACGGTTATAATGGTGACATAATACTCCATAGGAGGGGACCAGCAGGTGGCCTAATGGTTATGTCAATGGACACTCACAGTCAACCAGTTTAAGTCCCAGACCCCACAGCTTCAGACTCATGCTGGGTGCGTGTGTGCCTGCCCAATATCCCGAGAGGAAAATGGAGAAGGGACTGCAGTGTGACCATCCTGCCAGGGGGTCATTCTTTTTGCTCCTAGCTGCCTCTCTGGTGAGCACATGCCCTATACAAAAAAAAAAAAAAAAAAAGAAAAAGAAAAACCTCTAAAACCTCTCAAAAAAGAAGCTCTACAGGATGTTTGAAAGATTAATTATTATTTTTTTTAATTGTTGGGACCGGCAGGTGGCGTGGTGGTTAAGGCACTGGACACTCCCACATGGCCGACCACGGTTCGAGTCCCAGACCTGGTGGCTTCCTTCCCCCCTTTCCTTCTCTCTGTGTGTGTCTCTCTCTGGTCAAAGTAAAATAAATGAAGGAATAAATAAAATTAAAATAAATCATTTTTAAAAATTGTTGTGGGGCTGGCAGGTGGCATGGTGGTTAAGGCGATGGACCCCCACATGGGCGACTATGTTGGACTTGGCGTCTTAACCACACCACCTGCGATTTTTTTAAGAGAATA